TCTAAAATCCTGTGCCGCTCAGAGGGTTAATGGGCAACATAAACTGGTATTTTACTTGAAGCCCATAACAGCTTTTAATGAAAATTATATTAAAATATAATCCAAAACTTTTCAATTTTAGCATTTAAGACTTTTATATCATAGGGATAAACATATTTGATTTTGTCTAAAACTGATACACCGGAAAAGAATTTTACTTGAAGCTCTAAACAGACTTTCATAAAAAATATGTTGTAAGATTGCACAACACTTCTGAAATTTCATACTTTAAATACGTATGTAAACAAAATATTGCATTTTTTAGCATTAAACATATTCTTGGAATTATATGCAATGAGAATAAGCTTATAATGAAGATAAGCTCTTGCTATGAAGCAATTAATATTTCAACTCTCAATTTTGTATTTGGTTCAGTTTTGTTTGAATTACTTTTCAAATAAAATGATGCTACCACCAAATGTTATCAATGTTATTAAAAAAAATTGCACGGCAACAACTAGCAATCTATTGGGAATTCTGAAGATATCCTGATTTTAAAGATTTTGCGCTTTTGTCATTGATTTTTATGTGACGTAAAGAAGAAAGTTATCTTAAATACATAAAGCTAAAATGACGAATAAACAAGTTGGCTATCTTATTAAGAAAACTGAACATAGATATCATAAACTGAGAAAAGACCAAAAAAGAAAGGTACGGCAACATTTACCAGTCTACAAGGAATTGTAAAGATATGCTCCTTTTAAAAACTTTGCGATTGTTCAGTCACTGATTTATAAATCCAATGACCAGAAGATGTGATATCTTCAAATCAAAGAGAACGGATGTGTACATGAGGACTTATAGTTAGCCTAGTCCATTGTGTTGGAGAAAGAATAATAAAAAATGAGTGTTTTTTTATAATTAACACTCAGCTATATAGTTTATAAGCAAGATTTTATTTACAAATACACTGGACGACAAAAAATTGGCAGGAGGTCTTATGCTAGCCACATTATTTTTTTTATTTGAAAAGTATTAATTCAGTTTGTTTTTATATTCTTTTTACATATTTTTCATACCATCACTTAAGCAATGCAAAATTCAAGTTACACAGAGGTTTATGAAATGCATTACTTAATCAGTGGTCTCAAATTGGCAGTTCTCAAAGGATATTTATGCAGCCCATGACTATATTTCAATTATGTATTTATTGCAAATGTGAAGTTAAATCATTTCAAAATTTTTTATTATTTGAAGATCGGGTTTACCTTTTTATTACCATTAAAAGTAATGAACTAGAAAATCTATAAATGGAGCTAATTAATTTACAATGTGATATAAATCTTAACTGAAGATTTTATTAATCTTTCCTTGACCTTGTCAATAAATATGTACACTCAATTACAAATTTCTTCACACAGAATAATAGCTTTGTTTGGAAGTTGAAAATTATTAAGAAAAAAACTTGACTGAACGATAAACATCCACGATGTGTGATGAAAATAATTTCTCTCAAAGGCCACGAATTTTATCATAATCAAAACACCATAAAGTGCCCAGCTGTAGAACGGAATAAAGAAGTTTATCATTATTTACACACAAACATATGTATTTTTATTTTTGTGTCAGAGAAAAATTTAATAAATGAAACACAGACTAAGTTGTCGTCATGAAGGAGTTTTCTCTGAAAACAGAAACAGTTTTAGTAATTTGTTTATGCTTGGTTTAAATTAAGGTAAGTTACTAAATGATTAATTAAACATGGCAGAATGACTTGAATGGAACCTCAGAATTATTTGTAAGCTTAAAACTGTAATATTTAGCTTTCAATATGTTCGAATTACCAAGTGTAAAGGGGAAAAAAAATTGCTTGCAGGTACAGTAGGTACTGCTTAATATGATTACGTCCATTCTGACCTTATTTAATTGTATGAAGTGTTTGAGTTTTATGTGCGGTGCTGCAATAAAGTTTGATAAATTAAATGTGTGAACCTGAACCTCTCTCTCCCCTTGCATACAGCCTTGTTACTGAGATTAATAGTCTTTTCTGATAAGATGTTTAATATGTAAGCCCCCCACACACACACACACATAAAAAAAAAAAGAAAAAAAAAATTTTTTTTTTTTTCCATGGGTGACAAATCACTAATTCCTTTGTTTTCTCAGACAACTTCGATGATCTCTGGATCACTCTTTTGGTAGCAAGTCTCGATATTTTCATCTATTCCCAAATATTTGAGTAGGGTCTTATCATGCATTTGTTTATCATCACCTAATACATCTTGAGAGTTTTCAGAAAGTTGCTTTGGATGGAAGCCGACATTTTTTAAAACAATTTGAAATCATTGGCGAAGTTATTTCATGCATTTAAAATAACATGCATGACACCTAAGAAATTGATTTAACAATATACTTAGAAGAACAATCTAAGTTAGTTGTATGAATTTCATTAATAACAATTTGAAGCACTTATTTCCCATACTGACTCTTAAATGCATTTATAACACCCTGATCTAATGTGTGAAGAATGGCAGAAGAAAAATTGAATTTATGTTCTTCAACAAGAGATTAGTTGAATGGGCAGTGCTATCTAGCGTGCCATTTTTTCTTGTTAAAGTTCATTATCCCATTTCATAAGAAAATCATTAAAATATTACTTGTCATCCAAACATTTTTATTGTTGTAATAAGTCACAGGCAAATGCAATGAGTGTTTTTGCTTGCACTGATGACTAATGGAGTCTTTATAACTGTTCCGTCCATATTACATGTTAATAACACAGTAACATATTGTTTCTTTTTTTTTTTTCTTTTTTCTTTTTTTTTTTTTTTACAGTCAGTTGACTCATTCTTAAACATTAAAGAGTGGGGTAGGGCTCTAACAAAGACCAGTCTCATCCGTATTAAAAATTCGATGCAGTTCGTTTCTTGTGAAAGTGCAGCTAAATTCTTTTCTATCCAATTATCAGCTTCATTAGGGTCTGCATCATGTTTCTCTCCCTGTAATTTTCTGAAAATGATATTGTTTCTGTCTCTCTATCTTGTGAGACATCCAATGGAAGGAACAAACTCCTCTCGCAGCATTTTGATAAATTCTTTTGCCTTTTGATACAGGGTTTCTTGTAACAGCGTGGCATTCATGTTCCTGATATATCGAAAACACTTCAAGAGACCAGTTTCTATATCAGCAAACTTTCCCTTTTGCTTCTGCGAGACATCTGCACTTGCATCATTTCATCCAAAATTGCCTTCCTTCTTTTCAACAACATACATAATGCAGATTGTGAAATTCTGAATTCACATTGCCTGCATTTTAGTAAAGCATCATACTGCTTCACAATTTTTCTTTATTTTTTTTTAGGCTTAAGTGCTTGTGTTTGGACATTTTAAGGCATGACCAAAGAATAAAGGCATGATGCAGACAATGAATTGAATGAAATGCGTGAGCAAAAAAAGACAAATTTTTTTTCCAGATTCTCTTTTACATCTCTCTCTCTTTTTTTATTTTTATTTTTTTCTTTCTTTTTCTTTCTTTTTCTTTTTTTTTTTTTTTTTTTTCTTTTTTTTTTAAATGTTTCCTCTTTTTTCAGTTTGAGAGAGCTCTAACAAACCTCTTGTGACCTACGACCACCATGATTGGTCTAGAAATTCTAGCATTTGCAGCTCCATGTGTTAAACTGATTTGACCTTGAATGATATCGCTGACTTTAAAACACAACTTGGAGGTTTTGACAATTCCAGATATGAAAATTCTAGCAGTTGCCCCTCCATGTGTTAAAATGAATAAACTTTGAACAAAATCACTAAACTTGAAACATAAATTTACAGTTCTGACTTTACAATTTTAAAAGCGATTTGATATTTATACACTGTAGCATTGATTTTATAATGATACTGTATTCATTTTAATTCTTTCCTTAGGTTTTGATTTTTATAAGCACCTGAATTTATGAAACAGTGATTTTTATTAAGCAGTACCCATTGTACCAACCTTCAGATTTCAGATAAAAAATAAATTAAATTTTTTTCTATGGATATTATTATGATTGTTTATGAGTGCTTTGATAGAAATTTATTAAGAGAAATTTAAAATTTATGTAAAATATTTTAATTTTCCCTTTGTTAAAAAATTTCTTCCCTGCCAGCTGTTTTCAGATTAGGCATTCGACGCACATTCGAGTTTTAAGATCACCAACTCACATAAGTCGGGATTACTATACTTGAAATCCAATCTTCAAGCTTATATGCACGCAGTGGCACAATCCGATAATGAAAGAAAAGCCTTTTAAAAGCATTTTTTAGTACAGTTCTACAAAACAAAGTAATCCTTAATGACAATGGGCAGGGGAACTTTGAAAGTCAATTTTAGTTGGATATAGAAAGTAATCATAATGGGGATAAATCTAAAAAAATGCAGGATGGTTCATTTCATAGTCATTTTCAGTCCAGATATGACCACATCTGTACTGGTCCATGTGAAAGTCCATTATGCAGTACATGTTTGGAACATGGTTTTTGTCAGAATGAAGAAAACACAGATTTAAAAATTTTCTGGTCATTCAGGTGATTATGATTTCTAAAAAATGCAATGTATTTTAGATCTTTTAACACATAAAATAATTAAAATATTTAAAAAGCTACAGTAATTAAAAATTATTGTATGAATTATATAAAATTATACCAAGAATTAAAAAAAATGTGTTTCATTTAAAAATTAATAACAACAAAAATCCCTTTTTAGGCATATATGATCACATTTAAAAATTCATCAGGCATCAATGAATTTGGGCTTATTCCTTATTTAAATTTTAAAAAAACTAAAAAATAGGTTTTTTGATCATCATACATATATTAATTTATATATTAAAATTAGAAAAAATATTTTTATTGCCATATTTTTTTACATAAGGGAAAAAAAAATAATGCAATAAATACCTTTTTCATTAATTGTTTTTATAAAACTAAAAGAAAGTTAATGAATATCATAAAAAATACATTAAAATATACATATATATAATTTACCGTTTCAGACATATTATTAATACTTCAGGAAACTTCCAAACAGAAAGTGACTTGGTAGCTTGTTGATTACGTCGGCATACTGGACAAAACCATGGACTATCCTCATCTAAACTTTCTCTAAACAATGAAAGAATATACATATGTTTACAGATCCATATAACAGAGGTAATTTCCTGCATTTCGTATGCACAGTACTAAACTGTAAAATCTATGATCTTAACCAAAAATATATAAAAAATAATTCAACATATATAGATAAAGATAAATTACAATATCTTTGAACACAATTAAAAAGAAATTAATTATTGAATCATAACTACAAATTTATTGGCTAATTTATTTGCTGTTTGACCTTACTTACCTTCTACAGGAGTGTTTCTCAAACTTTTCTAAACATGGAACACTTTGTAAGCTCTAAAAGTTTTAAGAAACAGTAGAGCAAATTTGGATTTTCAGATTTAATAAATGTTAACATGGATATATTAGATAAATATACATTTATTCCAATTTTTAAATCATATCTATTAGATGCAACACAAGTTGGTTTCCATATTTGTCATATACATATTCTATTCTACACAGGTGGACAAAATTAAGAGATGGAAAACATTTCCCCACATTTTTCCTAAAATACTACACAAAACCTAGACAGCTGGTTGCCATATAATGTCACTGAGCTGAGTTTACTTACTCCTATGGGCGTTGCTACGCCAGCAGGAGGTATAAAAGTCCGCATCCAGCTGCTCAGCTTATTCTGCTCTGCAACACGGAAGTGATTTTTATCGTCTTCCTTGAATAATCTTGTATTCTGCTGTTTTTTAGGTGAAATGAGTACACATCATGGCTTAGACGAAGGAATGATACGGTGAATCGTGGGTAGGGTAAGCTCAAGGCAGGGCACTAGCATGCTTAAGTTGCAAGAGAACTGGATGTAGCACGAAGTGACATCTATAATTTGTGGAATCGGTTTAAAAACAGCAGGCCAGTGTCTAGAAGACCAGGACAAGGTTGCTCGATAGCCATGACGATCGGTATTTGGTGCTTTCAGCCAAGCACCAGAGGATGTCTACAACCACACAACTGTCTCATGACCTCGCTACTGCCACAAGGGACATCAGCTTCAAGGAAGGCAGTTGCCAGAAAGCCTGCTATTTGCATCCCAGTCACTCTCTTCCACAAAAGAGAACATTTACAATGGTGCATACAACACCAACACTGGACACATCTTCAACGGGCTAATGCTCTCTTCTCAGATGAGATCAGATTCAGTCTACAACTTGATTCTTGGCAATTATTGATATGGAGGGAACCTGGGACCCGATACCATTCCAGGAACATCATAGAAAGGAACCAATATGGTGGTGGAGGAGTGATGGTCTGGGTAGGGATTATGCAAAATGATCGTACACTGCTCCACATGTTTGACACTAGTTCCATTAATGCCCAGAGGTATAGGTAGGAGATCCTACAGCCCTATGTGCGACTTTTCAGGAATGCTGTTGGCACTGAATTAATTTTTATGGACGATAATACATGACCACATAGGATGCACATGGTTGATGACTATCTGGAAAGCAAAGATATTCATCAAATGGATTGGCCAGCAAAATCTCTGGACCTTAACCTATTGAACATGTTTGGGACGTTCTTCGAAGGACTATTTGAATAAGACAACCCCCATCCAGAACCATTCAGGGGTTAAAAACTACTCTGGTGGAGGAATGGGTGCGACTTCCACAGAGAACTACTAAACTCTCTTGCTAACACAATGTCTACTCGTTGTGCATGCTGTCTGTCTATCAGAGGCCACCATACTAGCCATATTTTCACTGCCCAATCATACAATAAACTATAATGGCAACTAATTTCATTTATTTCCATCCAGTCTTTCTCGAGATATTTGGGAAAATGTGTTCCCCCTCTTAATTTTGTCCACCAGTATATATATATATATATTTATTTTCTATTTGATTTTGTCATAGTGAAATATCAAAAATCTGCCTTATACAAATATGCTGTTGCAAAAGGACGTAAAATATGAAGCAGCTCATTTTATTAATTTCGGATGTTCTTCTGAAAAACGTATCTAAAACTGGTTTAATGGCAGTTTTTTAAATTTTTGTTTTATGCTGGAATCAGTTTTCAAATCAGTTAACCCCAGTTTTATAATTTTTCTCGGAATATTGTTTGAGAAATGCTGTTCTACAGTGATTGAACACATTATACTTGAAATATTCTTTTGAAGGCGAAGTCATAATACATTGCACAGTCCAATATTTGAAATGATCTAATAGCTGGTCCTCTGGAAAAACAGCCATTTTTTCTTAAAGATTTTTTTTTTTCTTTTCAAAAAGGTAAAAAGAATTAGACAGTGGAAGTAGTGCCTTACTTTACTCATGCACAATACGTACTTTTTCATTATGAGGTATGTGAAAGATCTCGAATGTCAATTCCAGTTTGACATGAAATATAACACCTCCATTTTGAAGAAATACAATCATTAACTAGCTTAAATCTATTTCATCAACAGTTTGTTGCCTCTGTAGCCGCCTTTTAGCTTAGCACTAATCTCAAACACAAACTTTTATCAAAGTTCATGGCTGAATTCATGCCTACTGAATAATTTATATCTCTGAAGCCAACCTGGCAGTCATTTTTTATTATTTTTTTGATTAGCAATATTATATATGACATTTCAATTATTTTCTTGATACCTATATTTTGATTAACAATAAATATTAAATTCTGCAAATGGCCTTAAACATATTTTTGTACTTCTGTTAGGCTGTGCAACCCTTTGTAATTCTTTGCCAAATCAAATGGCCTAAGAGACCTGAAAGAATGAATATGTGTTGGAGCTTCTGAGTCAGTATAAAGTATTGTGTTATTTTTTTTTTTTTTCTGACACCAGTTGTTACTTTATTTTCTTCCTTCACATTTGTATGGGGTTTGTATGGATTTGGAGTGAATAACGACGATGCTTGATGAAGTATCGAAACACACTTTATTGGCCGGTATTCATCAGGACAACTCCAAAATCTCGTTCACAGTCGTCGAACTGTTATAAACACGCTGACACGATCAGCGACACACCTTTCAGGTTATCAAGCTATCACGGTGGAAACAGATTCACTGCAAAGCACCAGAATACAGCTCCTGACTCTGCTTGGTCGTTCTCGCAATTCCATGTACTCTCGAGACTCTCCATGCTACAACTCGCGATGCACTCGTCGACATGCAGAGCACGGCTCCTGACTCTTCAATTCAGTCGTTCCCGGAGCTTAACACACTCTCTCGACGATGCACTAACCACGATACACTAAGAGACTCATCGATGCACTCGATTACCAAATGGGTGCTAGACTTCGAAACACTCGCTCAATGACTGACTATCAGCTCGCTAGACGAGGCACATACTCGATAAAATAAGTTTCCCCTGTCGACTGTGGTCAGAGTTGTGTATGAAAGTCAAAAAATAGAATGAGACATTAAAGATATGACATACCTTAATTTTTCCACATAGGTACAAGTACATTGAGACATCCATATCGCTTGATAAGCTTCAAAAAGCCCTCCAGGAAAAAATCAAGGCTTTGCATATGGAAGAAGCATTGAACGGCTTGTTTCACTTCAGTATTGCTTCCAAAGTGCCTTCCCCCGAGATTTTTCTTCAAAGCCGGAAACAGATGAAAGTCGCTTGGTGCAAGATCAGGACTGTATGGCGGATGGTATAGGCGCTCCCAACCAAGAGTTGCAATATGGTTTTGCGTTGCCGTCGCCGAATGTGGTCTGGCATTGTCATCCAACAGCAGAACGCCAGATGTGAGAAGGCTAGGCCGCTTTTTCCGAATCACCTCTTTCAATTTCGACAGGGTGTCACAATAGCGCGTAGCATTGATGGTTCCAACAAACTCCCAAAAGTCCAGCAAAAAAAAAACTGTGAGGAGAAAACTGTTATACTGCAGAGGGAGTTGTCTTGAACTTCTTTCGGACAGGTGATGACGGATGTTTTCCACTCCATAGATGCGGCCTTCCCTTCGATTCTGGGGTGAAATGGTGGACCCCCGTTTCATCCCCGGTCACAATCCAAAACAGAAAGTCATTGCCATCTTCATGGTAACGCACAAGATGTTCCAGGCTGACCCCCATGCGTTGTTCCTTGTGTGTCGAGGTCAATTGTCGGGGCACCCATTGTGCTGACACTTTTCTGTATCGAAAAATGTCGTGGATGATGTTTTGAGCTTGCTCATGTGAGATTCCAAGTTCTTCTGCTACTTCATCGATGGTGATACGTCGGTTCGCTCTAATCATGTCATCCACCTTCCTGACATTTGCATCTGTAGTGGCCGGGCGCGTCCGTCCAGCTTTCGTTACGTCCTCCACTTGCTGACGTCCATCCCTGAATGTGCGACACCATCTCCGCACCATTTGCTTCGACATCACACCTGGTCCATAGACTTCCACGAGGCGGTTATGAATTTCTGTTCCTGATACTCCACGTGCCCATTCATAGCGGATAACTGCTCTCACTTCCTCCTTTGACCACGAATTCAAAACGCACCTTCTCTCCATACCTACTCCGGGGCTCAAATGAGAGGCTGGTCTCCGCTTTGCGCAGGCACTGCAACAGCGCCATCTGCTTGATTTGCAGCAGCAACCTCTACCCAATGGTGTATCGGTGACTTGCGCATTTTCCTGCTGCGTCACCTTTCGCCCATAGCCGTTCAATGCTTCTTCCATATGCAAAGCGTGAATTTTTCTTGGAGGACTTTTTGAAGCTTATCAAGCAATATGACAAATGTCTCAACGTACTCGTACGAGAATAATAAAATAAAGGTATGTCATATCTTTAATGTCTCATTCTATTTTTTGACTTTCATACACAACTCTGACCACAGTCGACAGGGGAAACTTATTTTTCAACTTACCCTCGTAGATGAGACATTAACTCATAACTAACTCGACTCCACATACCAGCAGGGTTTATATAGCTTTTGGCTGGTGTTTGAGAACATTCTGGGCTAAACCAGTAAGAATTCGTTCCAGAAGGTTCTCTATCCGTCCATGGCATATCGCCAATTTTGTCGCCAAATGGGCGATTTCTCGCAAAACGTGGCAACCCTAAAACTGCTTTGCGGAAAAGCTGTCTTACCGCGCCTGGACATTTCATAACAACATTTCTATCTCTGTGCCTTTAATAATTTGGCATTTACTGTAATGAAATTCAATTACATGTTATTCTAGGAAAAACACCTAGAGCCAAAGCTTATCATTTTTATTGCGAATCTTTCCTTCAGACACAAGACACTGAATTTTTTCCTTGCAAAACAGCATTTTCATACTACTCCTTAAAGTGAAATTAAATGTGGTAAGGATCCATGATGCTCACTGAAAAATCCCCTCAAGGAGGTGTAGAATCTCGGATCCCCCACTGCCAAGGTGATCTCTCTCAAAACTGTGGCAGGAACATACCTGTATGGTAAAACTCTAGAAACCTGCTCACATTTCTACCTGCATCTGTAGTTCACAATACCAAAAAAGAATATAAGTACTATTCTCCTATAATGCCATAAAAAGACAGCAGTTTGACTGTGGGAGCGACAATTACAATTTGAAAATTTCAAGTCTTGATCTAACACCTTGATAGCTTAATATTAAAAATTTCAAAAAGGTTAAAAACTATAAAAACCAAGAACATACAGTAAAACCTCGATTATAAGGAAATTTTTGGAAAATGCCAAATACCAGACACATGGAAATTCTGGATAACTGAGAGCATAAAAAATGCAGTTTCACAGTAGAAAAGCGAAATGAACGGAAGAAGAAATTTCCATTCTAAAATTATAAAATCAGTTATTTATTATCAGCTTGAATATCAAAAGTCTGTACTTAATATTATAATAATTTGGAGGGGAAGTGGCGCATTTTAGACATAAAAACCAATGTATTTTCATACAGCTTACATATGAAAGTAAAACATTTTATCTAATATGAAATACCTTCAACAGTAAAAAATGTTTGAAAGAACTTGCTTTTTATTTAGTCTAACAGCATATAAAAAAACTTAGATCACTTGTCATACTTTTCCATGCTATATTGCAGTTGTTAATATGTTTTTAAATAAAGTTGTATGTAGTGCCCATTAACACACACTTTTCTTGATGCCAGGATACTGTAATTTTTTAAATATTCTACTGCATGCTTTCTATTTAGGGCAGGTCTAAAATTTTAATAACATTTTTAAATGTGAGGGAAAATATATAAAGAGCAGTTGATTTATAGCCTTCTTTACAAAATCTAAAATGCATTATCAAAAATAAATCAGGTTTGCATAAAAAGACAAGATTAAGATATTATGATTGTATTGTGATGTCATGCTTATCCAATAATGGTACTAAATCACATTATTAGGAGACAGATTTTATTTATTTAGAGTCATAGCCCTTCACATGCTTTAGGCTGGCTTTATAAGTGTCTCATTTGCCTTTACTTATTCATTTATTTATTTATTTTGAAAAAAGGGGGTCTAAAGTTTTAAAATATTCCAGTTGCTTGAGCTTTCAAGCTTTTTTATATTACATTTAAAATAAGCCTTTTAAAATAGCAATATTAAATACCAGCTAAAATTCTGGCATGATAACACTCTGTCATAAATTAATGTCACATGACAATTTTTGCATTATTTAAAAAAATATAAATATCTGAAAAACCAGTCATGCATTTTTTTCCCACTAGATTGCCTCTACACAATATCTAACACATATTTGCCATTAGTTAAATGCAATAATTTCTATTTTTAAGGATATATGATTCATCTAAAGAAAAAAATAAAGGCTATTTTTTAAATATGAAAAAAGACCTAATTCAGAATGCAGTTATGTGGTAATTTTCCACATACTACAAAACAAAACTTACCTTTCACTAAAATACTCTAAACAATCATAAATATCTAGTTCAGCTTTATGGCGAGCTTGCTGCATTGATTTATGTTCTGCCACAAATGAAGCTGATGCTAAGACTTCAGGAGGAAGGTCTACATATCTGACAGCTATGCTATCACCAGGATGCAGTCTAATTTCCCCAACACGAGCTATTTCACAGCCAGAACAATGCTCATTGTAAAAACAGCGAGAACAGTTTTTACCCTGAAAATTATAAAAACAATTCAAAATGCTAACAATTATTTTTCTAATAAATTTAAATAAAAAAAATCTGAAAGGTTTCAGATTTTAAAATACATCCAAAGGGCCATTTTTTTAACATTTTGTCTGTTAACTTTATTTATTAAATATCACGTTCTTCGCACTTAAACCATAAAATTCAGTTCAAGAGCAATATCGCAAAATACTAGTTTTAAATTGAGCATATCTTTAGAATTTCGGATACAGAGTCTTGCGCGCTGGAGATAAAAATGTTTTTTCTGAACAACGTTGCCATGGCTCACTTTGAAATCCTTGAGTTTGTTAATCAAAAATTCGTTAAAGTTTTACAAAATATGAAATTGATAATAAAACAAATACTAAATTTCAAATTTAAGCTTCCACATGCCCATATGCGCAGTAGGATTTCGTTATTCAAAACTCAATGGCTCTATGTACCGTCGTTTTATCACAATGCGAGATATACATATATGTATGCAGATTTTTCATAATTTAATTTCTTCAAATATAATGCAGAACTCTAACATTTGGTGGCAACAGTTTGAAACGTTAAATGGACATTTATAGTGATTCAAAGCAAAATCGCAAAACGAAAGCAGCAGTCCTTCAAGGACAAAGCCCCTTTGAACTAAAAATAGAATTTTTATGGCCACATCTTTTCTTACATATATATGTATCTTGAACAGACAGGCTATTAACATTTCTTTAAGTGACACCAGAAGAAAATTTTTTTAAATATAACTTGCTTTTAAAAATTGGAAGAATAACTTTTTTATTAATTTTATAAATAACCCCATTACATAAAATAAAATTTGTCACATTACATTTCATCCAATTGTGATGCATGGTGATCCTAAAGTAATTTGTTTTTAAAATTTTATTTATTAATTTTGATATTTAAGGGTTTTTTTTTACACAAACACTGATAATCTTCATTTAAATCAAATTAATCCTGAATTTCATCCTTTGTATCATTGGATTAAAGAAAAAATGATCTTCTAAATAAAGTTTATTCCTAATCTAACATAATTTATCAAAAGGTTTTGATAGTTTTAGTAATAATGTGCCCAATATTTTAAAATATTGATAAAAGAATCTATCATTTATAAAAACTTGAAATTTTCAACTTTGCCTTCTTTTAGAACAATAATAATAGTAATTATAAATTACACTACTTCTATACATATAGAGAACTTCATTTGGATACAAAAGTTTTCTACTTTCATTACTTTTTCACTATGTTGAATTTTTTGGATATTTTATGCATCTTCCAGAACATATTTTCTTTTCCCCAGTACAGAGACTACTCCTAGTGTTATTGCTTTGAATTTTCTGAGAGAATTCTTCAAAATGCCTTTAATATCAATTCGTTATGTCTTTGCTTTGGCAGTTACATTTCCATAATTTATTTATTTATTTATTTATTTTTTTTTTTTAAATTCTTGACAAATTCTTCTAAAATTTCAACTGCATATTCAATGAAACTGCTTTTCATTTTCTAGACATTTTAGCTGTAAATAAACTTTAAAGCAAAGCCAAAAGGATAAATATTTGAGTTAAAGCATTTTAAAAAATGACAAAGAAACTCCCAAACTTTTCTGGTTTGCAAAAAGCAGCATTTATTCTACCCCTCCCAAGTGACTGGATCCTTATATAGTACAAAGTCCGTAATCCAGACTCATCGGGACTTTGGTGATTCCGGATTAGAGGTTTTTCCAGATTGTAGATCATCAATTTAAATCTGGTAAGATGGCATGCAGAAATTATACAATTAAAAATATGAAACTGTAATTTATGAAATAAAGAGCAATTATGATCTAAAAGGTATCAAAAAAAAAACAAAAAAAAAAAAAAAAAAAAAAAAAAAAAAAAAAAAAAAAAACTTAATATTTATAAGCTTATTTATAGTAATTATTGTTTACTTTATTAAACATTTCTTTCAATGTAAGTTGTTTAAGTTGCTTCATTTTTTGTGCTAATACTTTCTCTTTAATTCTCTTTTCTATAAACAGACATAATTTCTTGTTCAGTTACAAAGTTCCACCGTTCAAATCCTCTAATTGCTGTGTCGAGAATACCGACTAACTTGTCAATCGAAATTTTTTTCGTTTTCAATAACCTCTCTGTCACTTTCTTCACTATGTGTAAAGCTTTACTGGCTTTACGCACACGCGTAGCGGATGCGCGCATCAAACGCGCATGCGTAAACGCAATATGCGCATGCATAAGTTTGTCGCTTTGAGGTCTGGATTATAGATCATTCCGGATAATGGACATCCGGATTACGGACTAATCTAAATCATATTATTTTGATAATTTTTAAGACCAATAATTTCCATATTAAAGAGTACATTTTTTTTACATAATGTGTAATAGTATGAGGGAAAAATAGCTACTTAATAAGCTTTATAAAAGGATTTATGTTTCATGTGTTTTTTACTAAAAACTAGGATAAAAACCACACTGTCAAACTCTTAAAGTTTAAATTATCTTGTTAAATTTTAATTTGAAACTATGCACTATAAAATTTGTATATCATGGATACGATTTTCTATTTTATGGACAAAAGCAAGGAATCAATCCAAATGTATTTTATTTTCAATAAGCCAAAACTAAAACAGCTCCCCTTCCTGGGGTGGGCACCTGAAAATTCTACACTGGATTAGTTCAATTTTTGAAACACATACTTCAATATTAACTCTGACATACATTTCAATTTTTAGTTTTGGCAACTATTTTGTCAAAAATTCGAGTAACTGAAGTTTTAGTGTAAATTCAAAGCATGGCAATTATGCAATCAAAAGTATTTTTAAAAAATAGAAATCTTACATGGTTTATATTCATGCAACTTCCTGACTTAATACAAATATGACAAGTAATTAAAGTAAAGGCTTGTAGGTGTCTGTTTTGAGTACGATTCTTAGAATAGAATATCACAATCCTTTTACCTCTTTCATGTTAAAAAAGAAACTTTTTTTTGAAAGGAGTTAAGCAAAAATAATCATAATGAGATAAATCTGGAGAACACACAGGATGACTAAGTACACATACTTATTTGCAAAAGAGAGTGGCTCTGTGAAGTGGTTTTTGACAGCTGAGAAGATGCCTTATCGTATAATAGAATGGTTTCCAAGTGAATAACGAACAATTAAAAATCACCTGCTTAATTATCAGCTATTTAAATCAGGATTCAGCCAAACATTTAAAATTGCAGCACTTTTTTGACACTTCAGCTTGTAAGATAAACATTGTCGATTAATATAAACATCTTATTAATCTTCCCAGGTGAATAAGGCAGGGTGATGATCCTCCCATCTTTAGCTTAGATTCCAAGAACACCAAATGAATACAGTAATAGTATATGTATTGCACTATACAGCTTAGTAGTTTAAAAACTTATGTATTAATAAAACTCTACTTTTTGTGCCTGATATTAGTACAATATTTTAAATCTTCAAAAAACAAAATAGTAAATTAGAGACTTATAACCTGGTTCTTAATTCAACTTTAATTACCAATGGGACATATATGTCCCACTAACAATTAAAAATTACTGCTGGGTTAAAAAGTACCTAGAATATTTTGAATGTTGGGGAGGATCATTTTCCAGTAGTTGGAAAATTAAGATGCCGCTGTGCTTGTTGTACACAAATGAACACAGAGAAAAGAACAAATATGAGGTGCCCAATGTGTAATGTTGGGTTATCCAAAGAATGCCCTGTACCATACGATGTAAAATCTATTTCATATAATAAAGCTCTCCAGAATAATAAGTGTGCTTATACTAAGTCGACTGGTAAGTATTGGAGATATGTATCCCGGCCTTTGGCTTGAAAACCGTATGTCAAAAAAAATCCCAGATGCTAAATTTACATTATTTATGACATAATTTTGCTCACTTGAATATAAAAATGGATTAATTTTTTAATATTCGTAGTCAAAGGGTTAAGCAGTTCAACCACTGGTTGAGCAGTTAAGGACTCGTTGAACGCTGTTAATTCGTGCTGGTGTCGAACAGAGAAGAATGAGATGGTTGCATGTTTGGCTTTCATGATTTTACTCATGAGCAAAGTGAAAACAAGCTACTTTTCATTACATAAGTCCGCCAAGACGGAATTCCTTCCCTTAGACAGAGAGCCTCTTTGCCATATTTAAATAATTAACCAATCTAAATTATGACAATTTTTAAACGAACATTTCTAAACTAAGAAAACGAGAAACTCACCAAAAGCAGTGTAGCTATCCAATCGAGAGGAGTACAATAGATGAAATGCCAATGGTTAAATTGCCAGTACTCTTTCTCAGAACTTAGATTGTTACTTGTTAGTTAAACTCACTTAATTTGTACTTTTTGACAGCATTGATGGAAAGAGTAGAAGTGCACATGTTAAAAATTTGATTGACATAAAATCAGCAATATGTCCACTGAGAATGACTACTTTTTAGATTTTTGAAATTATTTTACAAGAAAAATTTTAATAAATTCTAATATAACAGAAATAATAACAACATTAAATAAATGTAACAATAAACATCATTTATTATATTACTAATGATTGCAATTCAGATCTTGACAAATCATAATTTAGACACATTGAGGCGATTGGACGATTGGAGAAGCTTCTGGAACGAATTCTTACCAGTTTAGCCCAGAATGTTCTCGAACACAGGCCAAAAGTTAAATAAACCCTGCTGATCCGCAGTCAGTCAGTGTGTGCTTCATCGAGAGTGTGTCTCGTCTAGCGAGTCAATCGAGTTGACAGCCGGGCAACAAGTGACGAGTGGGTCGTCGAGTGAACCGAAGGAGTCGCTTAGTGCATCATCGAGAGAGCATGTTGAGCTCCGGGGAATGACTGAACCGAAGAGTCAGGAGCTGTGCTCGTGTGTCATCGAGTGCATCGTGAGTTGTCACGTGGAGAGTCTCGAGAGTATGTGGAGTTCCGAGAACGACCAAGCAGAGTCGGGAGCTGTACTCCGGAAAGCAG